GTAATGCCCACATTTCATCATTGGCGCGCCGGCAAACAGCGCAACGGACTAACATTTCAAACAGCAGCCGATGCGCGTGCCTTTGATAAGGGCGTGCTGCGCGCCTATAATGAGCTAATTGATGGTATGATCACTCTACCCACTATCCATGGATCCATTCCCAATCCCATTTAGCTGCATGTTGCTTAATTGATCAAAACGAAAAAAAAAGAAAAACACAATCGATATATTTTCTCTCGCTTCTTTTACCTATGCAAATATACGTTTATAATTTATATCTCTTTATCACACACGCATACATACACATACACGCGCACACACTCACACAAACCTTGGCTAATTACACTTCTCCTTTTGACGTTGCATTTAGAATTTTTCGCCTTCATTAACTAATACAAAATAAATGTTTTATGCTCTTTTTTATAAAAAAAAAAACTTGCTACAAAATTACAAAAAAAAAAAAAATTAAACATTTCATTGGAATTGTGAAATTTGTTTCAAAATTAAAACAATCATTAACAAAATTAACAAAAAATATATAATTTTAAAACAAAATTGGTAAGTGTTCAAGGAGGTTTCTTTTTTAAACAAGTGTGTGCGCTGCATTTTTATTATTAATATAAAAATAACTTTTTTGATAAATACTTGATGTACAACTTTCATAAACTTCCTGCAGAGCCTAAAAATCATTAATTTAGATATACATTTATTTCTGTTTAGAGTTTCCTTAAATATGCAAGGCAAGAACAAAATAGACTTTTAACATAAAATTTATGATATATTTTGAGCACTCCTCGTATATTATGAAAACTGATTTATAATAGTTAATATATATATATACATATATCAATCTTAAAGTGCGTATTTCTCATCAAAGAGTCACAAAAATTGCAGCGCAAACCAGCTATTTAGAAAATCCGTAGTATTTTATTTCATTTTAATTTTTTCAACTAGTTTACACCAATGAAAAACATTTAGTAAATGAAATTTCTGTAAACTACAATTGCTTAAACACACTCTCTTAACTCTGTGTATTTGAATATGCTTTTCTTTCTTCAGCTAAAAATTGACAATGCTCTCTTAACGCTTCATATTTGTTTTACTTTATAGCTTGTATTGAAATTAGCGTGTGCTTGGCTAACGTTTATTTGATATAACTAATCAATTTCTTTGAATATATATATATATACATATAGGACTGGCGAAATCTAATCCCACTATAATATGCCCACCATTGACCAAATATGATTCGGTTGGTGAAGATGATGTATTCATGGTGAGTTGGAAAATGTTTAGACAACCAGATGAGAAAACTTTGCTAATATTACACCATTTACAGACCCTGGACTTACCTGTGGAAAGCGAAAGTTTACAAAAGATACATTCAAGCCCCGAAGGCAGCGAAAAAAGTCACAGTAATGAAACTAAAAAGTTCTTGCATTTGTTTATATGAAATTAATTGATCTCTATTGTTCCACAGAAAGCGTCAGCGAGCGCCATAAGGATAGCTACAGCAACAATTCCGATTCCGAGAAACTACCAGCGGCTACCATACACTACATATCGACGGAAAAAACATCAACGGCTCCGGGCTCCGGCAGCGGCAACACTGGCAACGTTGGCGGCTCCACGGAGGGGCCGCCGCCGCCGCCTCCACCTGCAGGTCAGATAGCGCCCAGCGAGAATTACTCGTATGTAACGCTGACGGCTGTCCACCATGACTACAACTATCCGGTTGTGGAGCAGCCAGTTGGCGCCCAGGTGCTGAATGCACGACGCGAGTCAATCAGTGCATTGAAGAAGCGCAATGCTTTGGAGGCGGCACAAGCAATGGCCGCTGCACAGACATCGGCGGCGGGTGGAGCCAATAAGCCGCTGCACAAACCCAATGTATCGGATATACTCAAGAAGGAGACGCGCCTGCGTTGCCGCTACTGTCACGAGCTGTACAGCGAGGATTTCAATAGGCGTGGCGCATGCGAGTATGCACCAGATCCGTTTCGCAGCGGCTACGAGTGCATCTCGGGCATGGGCTGTGCACGCTGTATGATCTATCACTGTATGAGCGATGCAGAGGGTGAGACCGCACAGCATCCTTGTGATTGTAGCGTTAGCGAAGCGGGGTGCACCAAGCGCTGGTTGGGCCTGGCGCTGTTGTCCCTATTCGTTCCCTGCCTATGGTGCTATCCGCCGTTGCGCGCATGCCATTGGATGGGCATACAGTGCGGCCTCTGCGGAGCTCGCCATAAACCACATGTCTGACATTTGGAGGCTAGATTGCAAGGACAGTACGATGACGACCCCAGCACCAGGCCCAGAAACCAACAGCAACCTCACTCTGACGAGAATACATATAAGAGCCAGCTATTGCGACTCAAGCAGCGGCAGTCGCAGTTGCAGCAACCGCAGCCTCAAAGGCACTTTTATAACTGGGAACTCTCCCATAGTCTGGGCGCGCCCCAACAGCAGCCGCCGCAGCCGCTGTATCTGATGCAGCCGCACAGCAATAAGGCAGCTCAAAATGATTATGGTAGGCTTTTATTTTGAAAACTGACGAAATGACAACGAGAGTTCAGTTGCTGTTATGTTCCGTTCTGTGCTATTCTATCATTGCTTTCATTTGCCAACTTTTGTTTTGAGTTATCATGTATCAAGTTCAAATGACACCATATGATTTGCCATAGATTATTGTATATAGTAGAGCAGGTAAACCACTTGCACTTACCGTCTATAGGTCCATTGAACATCCACACTTATCAGATTCAGCATTGAAATAATTGTAATTTATATTTTAGAACTCTTAATTATTAATTATACTTTTGTAAAAACCGGGCTATTTGTTTTATATATATATATATATATATATATATATATGTATTTTTGCTTGTATATTTATATATATATATTCATATTCGTATCATATAACAATTGTAGTTATTTTTAGTTGTTTAAGTTTTTTGCTACTTACATTTTGTTTACAATTTGAAATTGGAGAACAGTATTAAAGCCAATGTCAGGCGTGACGGATATATCTAGATGCCAATATAAGCAAATTTGTGCGTAATTCCAATTCGTTTATAGTTTTAACAGAGCGTTTTCCCCTCTCAAAGAAATTACGCCGTAATGCGAAATGAAAATGAAAAGGCAAAATTGAATGCAAATGTTGCGGGAAAAAGAAACTAAAAAGAAAATATAAAAACAACATACAATAAAAACAAAAAGAAAAAAGAAAAGCGTAAAACTAAAACAAAAAACAACAACACTTAATGAAAAACTACAAATTGTTTTTAAACCCTTCAAAGCGAACAACGTCAACTTGCAGCAATTTGTGTTTTCAATTGTTCAACAAGAATTCAATTATGTCAAACAAATTTGTTTTGCAAAAAAAAAAAAAAAATCTTATTCATATTCATTTCCATTTACAAAAAGAATGTTTTTGACTCTTCTTAGGGCTCATGAAGATTCAAAATATTTCTTTTGCAAAAAAATCACACAAACCTTGTTTCAAATGTTAAGTTGATGAAATAAAAAAAAAAACCAAAAACAAAAACTAAATATGTTGTTATGAAAACACAAAATTGTTGCAATTGCGCGGCTGAATCGCTTAAATAAACCTTTAATTAAAAACAATTTGTAATTTAACCCATACAAATGAGTAAAAACTCATTTAAACAAAATACTTAAAAACAAAAACTCATATATGCAGTTATATATATATATATAAATGTGTATAAAACGTATTAAAGAATGCAAAAAGAAAAAAGAAAAATAAATTACTTATGTGCAAAGAACCTAAGTAATTTTTGTGTATTAAAAATGAAATTAATAATAATAAAAAAAAGCATTAATTTATTTCTTACTATAAATGCATATTTATTCAAAAATAAGCAAAGGTTGTGCAAACACACATTAAAAAACAAAAAAAAAATCAACAAAGTATATTAAAAATAAAACAAAAACCTTAAAACGGGCAATTGTTAGTAAAAATGCAAATGCTGTATCTAAAAAAAATGAAAAAAAAAAAAAAAAAAAAATGAACAAAAGTTGTTTAGATCAAGTAAACCTACCACAAAAAAACAAAAATGAAAAAAACAAAAAAACTTTGAACAAAGAACAAACACTCAACAAAAAGTACAAAATGTTAAATATACATGTTTAATTTTAAATTACTTTTATTATTTAGTTAAAGCTACAATAATTTTTAACATGTAAAATGATCCACAAGCATGCCAACATACAAAACATACAAAAAACAAAACAAATATAAAGTATATATATTAAATGTATTTCAAATTTTAACTGTGCATAAATAAACAAAAAACAAAAACAAATTAACTTTCAATGCGCAACAAAGAATAGAAAAAGAACGAAGACACAACAAAAATACGGACAAAACTAGAAGTCAGCAACAATAGTAAACATTTCGCTACATTATTTATTAACAAATTATCACAACAAAAAGTAAATATTCTAGAGATTAATAGTTAATTGCAGCAATTTGTTGAACACCAAAAACAAAAAAGAAGAAACTAAATTTTTCAATCAATATTTTGGTTATTTACAGTACATAAAATGAAAACCACATAAAATTATGAATAAGTAGCCGCATATAAAAGATGGCATTAAAAAGTAAACAAAATAAATGATATATTTATTCATATAAATGTATTTGAAATGTGAAAAAGAAAAATACAAAAACAAATAAAACAATTTAATAAACAAAAGTAAACTATTTCCTTTTTGCAACAGTCTGGCAACGACATGAACTATGCCAGGAAAGACATGAATCTGTATGTTAATGTATGCATTTATGTTTCGTAGCTGGCATGTCGCATATTTAATGTGGAAGTAACATAATCTGCGTATAACCAAGACTTTTTCTTAAATAGTAGCTTGTTTACTCCGCAGACACAAGCATCGGTGGTTCAGTGGTAGAATGCTCGCCTGCCACGCGGGCGGCCCGGGTTCGATTCCCGGCCGATGCAAATTACTTATTTTTCTGTATATAATTTGTTATTTCATTTAAATATTTTTATTTAGTAATCTTGACGTTGCGTTAGTTTTAAACAATTGAATTCAAGTATTTATGTATTTTAAACTTCAGACTGGTAGACGCGCCGAAGTTTAGTGCTACAACACACAAATATACAAATAAATTTAACAAGAATCTTTTTTGAGGATTTTTCATTTAGTCTCATTCCTTCTGCTTATAGTCCTATTTTGCAAGTCGCGATAAACTTATTTGGTGCAATGGACGAGGTAATGAAAAAACATAAAGAGTTAGGCCAGACAAAAACAAAACCAGCCGGTGGCGAGCTCACGTGCAGCGTGCACTTTGTCAAGTAAGTGTCATCACTAACCATAATGGGAAGAATAATTTGCAAGAGCCGATTTCCTTTTCTTGCACTCTATTAATGCATATTAATAAAATATGAAAACAATAAGCCCCAGGTACAGTCCGGGAAGCTCATCCGAAGACGAATTAGGCTCGGTAACGAGGTTGGTTTCAAAAGCTGAAGATTTGGAGCTCGCACGTGTTTTCAAACGTCAAGCGGCAGATATAGCCAAGAGTCGTTCCTTATTTGAGTTTGGGCACAATTTCGAAGATGTGCGCGACTGGCTGACCATCGAGCAGCCATCAAAAGTGTGCTTAAAGACCGTATTACGCTATATGGTGGAGAATCATTTGAAGACAACCGTCAAGATTGAGATCAACAAAATGTATTTCAATTGCCACTTGCTTGTGCTGCAGGCCTACTCCAAGTATTTCATGGAGCTCAATCCAATTCCGTTCGTTGTGACGCTGCCAGAGTCGAAGGTGTCCCAAAAGGCATTTATGCTCGTCTACAAATGGATGCTCAGTGATGAGCCGATCCTGGAGCGCAAAGACATTGTCACCGTATTTGTGGCAGCCACTTATTTGAGAGTGAAGGAGTTGCTGTTGCATTGCTGGAAGTATTTCGATGATAAGAACTGCTTCAATGAGGCCTCCGCCTGTGTCATGTACGTCGAATCGAAGAACAATGTGGCTTTGGATGTTGTGCGCAATCTGATGCTGACGCGCATACAAAAGTTTCTCCTCACCTTTGTGGCAACGAGCGATTTCTTAGATTTGCCGCATAAGCATCTTGTCTATCTTCTTTCCTCAGATGAGATATGCGTAAATAGTGAAATTGAGGTCGTTTAATTTTATTAATTTGATCTATTTTCCATTTATATTGTAACATTTTATTAACTCTGTAGATACTTTTCATTGCTGTACGCTGGCTGGGACACGACTGGGAGAGAAGAAAAGCGAACGTGCAGAGCCTGATTGATTGTATTCGCTTCAGTTCCATGCCACTTTGGTATTTGCTGTGCGTACGGCGGGTGGAGATGCACAGTCTGCTCAAAGAGCTGCTCAGTTTACCCACTGTTGATTCGCTCATCAATCAGTCCATTGCACAGATTACTTCCAAAATGTACGAAGAAAAACAGGAGGGATTTATTTTAGATTACGATTGCATCACAAAGAATTTACAACAGTCGCGCCGTTGGATCGTGGATGATGCGTGTCCTTATTATCATCACATTTGCTGTCCGCATACGCGCGACATCACTTTTACACAGTTCGAATCCTATTTAGCCGCGTTGCAGCAGCAGTCAATTGATTATTGGACCAAAGTGGATATGTTGGATGTAAAGAATCCGAGAAAGTGTGGCTGTATGCAATAACGGTAGATTCAAATGCCACCAGCCAATAGAAAATCAAATTTGACATTCGCAGCTATACGTTTTTATGCTCAAGAATGAAAATAGTCCGGCAACGTTACTTTATTGTATTAAAAAAAAAAGTCTGGTAACCTAGACAACAGCTGTTTTGTTGACGAACTTGTGTTTTTTCGAGGTGTTGTTTACGTTGCTCTAATAAATAAAATGGAAAAGCTTGAAGCACTTAAAATTTCGACAATGCGTCCGCGCAGCAATATACTTGATCGACCACTGTCCAAGGGCAAATCCGAAGTTTCACACAGCATTGTGGCTTTGCTCTTCAGCGAAATTGTTCAATACTCCCAGAGTCGAGTTTTCACAGTTCCCGAATTGCAGACAAGGTAATTTTACATTTGCTTGACGATTGAGGGAATTGAAAATAATACAACATCTTTTAGATTACACGATTTGGGTCAGGATGTGGGCACACGCATCATTGATTTGTACTTTGTGCGCGAACGCAGCTCCAAGCGTGAGACGAAGCTAACACAAATGTTGCTCTTTGTGAAGACAACCGTGTGGAAGAACTTGTTCGGCAAGGAGGCCGAGAAATTGGAGCATGCCAACGACGACGAGCGAACCTACTACATCATTGAAAAGGAACCACTGGTAAACACATTCATCAGTGTGCCCAAAGACAAAAGCTCACTGAATTGCGCCAACTTTACGGCTGGCATTGTCGAAGCGGTATTAACACATTGCGGATTTGTAAGTGGCCATTTAAGCTTAATTTAGATTCATATAAAACTTATTTACAAATCTTTCAGCCCTGCAAAGTAACGGCACACTGGCATAAGGGCACGACGTACATGGTCAAGTTTGAGGACTTTGTCATAGCGCGCGACAAGCAAATGGAGGAAAAATAGAAATATGCTTAAATTATTAATAAAAATAACTTCTAATTACAAATACCCAACTGATAAATGTATATTTTTACAATTTTTCATTAATTTGATTCCGCAAGATATATTGCCTGAGAGTTGAGTAGAGCCTTAAATAAACTTGAACCTGCGATCCTTGTAGGCCACCTGGCCGGTGCGATATTTCTGTTCACGGCCATCGCGTTCGCTCTTCAGCATCCAGGCGTATATCGCAATGGGCAGCACGACGGCGAAGAGGCCCGTGCGGAACGCATGTCCGGTGGGACGAAAATGCTCAATGTGTGAGACGCGCATGGCCTGGAAACGGGCTAGGCCAGCATCGAACTGCAATCAAGTAAATATTTATTATTGAGCATTCCAAAATGCTGGCATGTGATGACATAACCATTATTTGGCACTTACCACAGTGCCGCCCTCTCCAGTGGCATGACGGAAAGGATTGGAGCTCTGCTTCAAGTATTCGTTACGCAGCTTAAGTGTGTGCTCATGCTTACGGCAAATGAATTCCTCCTGATCCTTCGTGACAACCATTTTATTCTGTTGCAAAACTCAACTTGTGCTGGGCAACAAAAGCAAATGCCTAACAGCTGTTTGCAAACACTAAGAAGCAGACAGTTTGGCATTCGCATCGAAACGTCAGCGTTTAAGTGTGGCAGATGGCAACTCTAGCTAAAAGCACTTGAATAAATTAAAGCTGGCAGTGCCGTTAATTGTATATTCAAATTGTTTAATCTGAGTGCGGGGCGGCCGCATGAGTAAAAGTTTTGCTTTTAACAGTAAAAGTCAGTGTTTCTGGTGAGTTAAATTACTAATTTTATGTTTATCGAATAGAAAGTGTAGCTTAAGTAATTTTATTTTCACTCGTTTTTGGACTAGTGTTATAAACATTGAACATAAAGTCTGCTGCTTCGTTGCTGCACCCCAACAACACCGTTATACGCACGCTCAGGCTCTACTGCTCTCGCACACACACACACTCTCTCTGCCTTTCTCCTTCCCCCTCTATCTCACTCTCTGACCTACTCAACACATGAAGACATAACTGCGCATGTCCTGCAAAGTGTTATGCGCAGATCTCGTGTCAATGTCCTGTTACCCAGACATTTCAACTAATTTGCCAAACTTCTTGTGCTAGCTGCACTGAGTATTCAGTTTTCCAGTGAGATAACGGTAGTTTTTTATTTTTTCTGCTTAAATAGTTTAGTTATTTGTCCAATAGTCATTCAGTGTAATTTGACGCATCTCTGGTTATAAATCAATACCCTAAGTCGCTATAAGAATTGCCACTGCGCAAGACAAACTTCGTCCTCGCCGTCCCACACACGACAACTGCGTGGGTGTGACAGAGAAGGCGAGAACCAAGCGTGCTTGAGCCAGAGAGAGTGAGAGAGAGAATAGTAAAATGAGCTAACGCGCATGTTCTACGTAGTTGGGCGTTTATATTGTTGTTGTTGCTGCGGCTGCTGCTGCTGCTGGCTTGGTTGCTTTTCCTCTGCAGCTCTGCTGCTGCTGGTGGTGGTGCACTTGGCTTAGCTGTGTTCGCTTTGGGGGTTGGGTCAGTGGGTTTGGTAGGCAGCCGAGCTGTTTGTCACCGCGGCACGCTTACCTGCTTTAGGGGTTGTTGTTGCCCGGGAGTTGCGCTGTAGCGTTGCTTCCATTGCTTTGCCTTTCACTTGCCGACTGTCGGATGTAGCGTAAAGTTCTCTTTTGTTATTGTTGTTGTTGTTGTTGCAGGACTGTATGAAAGCACCTCAAATGGTTTAATTGCAAACGCAACGTGCTCGTTTATTGATTTTTGCATACAAAACATAAGTAATTTTAGAGGTAAGTGATTTAAATTGATTTCCTTCTCAGCTAAGAAATAATTGCAATAAATTCGTATTCGTATTCGTATTCGCAGTTCTTGCCATGAGCGTTAAGTCGAGTGCACGGATAAAGAAGCGACGCTCGGCGGAGGCAGCAGCCGCAACGGCATCCCCATCCTCTGGCTCCTTTGCGGCCATCAGCAGTCAGCGCGGCGCCGTCGGTGGCAGCAGCGTCGCCAACAACAACAGCAGCAATAGCAATGGCAATGGCAATGCCAGCAGTGGAGCCAGCGGCAGCAACTCGAATGCCAATCAGAATCTCAGCAAGAAGCACAATTTCGTCGGACGTAATCCCAATTTCGATACGGACGAGACGAAGCTGCTCATCCAGCTGTGGGGCGATCCGAAGCTGCAGCGCACTCTGATAACAACGCACAAGAAGCATGCGGTCATCTGCCAGCTGGCGGCCAAGATGCAGGAATATGGCTATCATCGGTCGCCGGAGGAGATCACGACGCGCATCAAGAATCTCAAGTGCTTCTACAATCGCCTGAAGAAGGACAAGGAGTACGGCATGTCCGGCGACACGGAGCCCAGTTGGAAGCATTTCGCTGAGATGGATGCCATCATGACGCGTCCCATATTCAGTGTGCGTCCCAACGAGGTGCCGGCACCGTCACTTAAATACCAATTGGAGCAGGCATTGGAGGAGCATGCGGAGCGTCGGAAACGACGCCAGGAGAATGGTGAGGAGCTGTCGGAGAGTGAAAACGAGGAGGACGACATTCTGCTCTCCTCGCTGGTGCCCAATGGCACCAACGGCAGCAAGTCCAAGCCGGATGATAACGAAGGCGACGTCCAAGTGGAAGTGGACCGAGGCGACGTCTCGCCCAAGCGGCGCAAGCTCACCTCTGAGAAGGATGTGGAGGAAGACGAGGCAGCTACACTCGAGACTCGCATTAAGACTGAGCCAGTCTGCCAGGCGGACTCAACTCCAGCGCCTGAGCTGAGCACAGCAGCAGCAACAGCAACAGCGATTCCTGCCGCATCTGCCGCAGTTGCCACAGATCCCGAAGAGGATGATGATTGCATGCTGTTGCCGCTGCCGAAGGAGGAGCCCATCGATGTGGATGCCGTCGAGGAGCCAGTTCCCGCATCACCGAAAATTGCCAGCACCGGCAATTTAGTGACGCCCACGCGTCCTGTGATGCCCACGCTCACGGACATGCTGCAGCTGCCGAAGAACACGAATCTGCTGCCGTACAGCGGCGCCAATGTCATCATACCGGCCAATAGCATCAGCACCAGCGTCTCTCAGCTGACCAGTACAACGGCCAGCAGCAGTGCGTCCAGCGGCAAACTCACTCCGGGCAAGATCTCGCTGGTGCCCACGAATTTCCTCATGCAGCCCAAGCAGGCGTCCAATGCGACAGCAGCGGGCAAAGCGGTGAGCGCAGCTACCGGGACACAGCTACATCTGCTGCAGAGCGCCATTAATCAAGGCGCACGTCTGATGATCAGCGGCTCGGCGCCCACGCCTGTGCAGGCGACGCCCAGCTCCGGTCTGGTCACGGGCCCCGGCGGCGTCAAGTTTGTGCTGGTCAATGCGGAGCAGGCGGCGGCGGCCAAGGCTGTGGCAGCTGTGGGCAAGCCGACGGCGGCCGGGATTACCACGGCAGCGCTGCCGCAGCAAACACAGCAGCAGAAGCTGCATCAGCAGCAAACGGAATACCTGACGCAGCAGCAGCTCCAGCAGACACAACAGCAGCAGCAGCAGGTGCAACAGTTGCAGCAATCACAGCAGCAGCAGCAACAGCAGGTGCAACAGCAACAGCAACAACAAAATCAGCAATTCGAGAAAAAGGAGGAGAAACGTCGCGCTCAGGAAATGCTGCGCGAGGAGCAACAGTCCAAGCGGCACATGACAAGTGAGTCAGTTGATGATTCCCCCTAGAGACAATCATTATTTAATTTAATCATTTTGTCTCTATCCACCCAGCCATGAGGATCATGCTGCGCCAGCTGCTTAACGCCCAAAACGAGGCCAACGAGATCCAACACAACCGCCTGTCGCTGGAGCGTGAACGCCTGGACTGGGAGAAGTCAATGGGTGAACGTTTGCTCACAATGCTGCCCACGCTGCTGCAGCCAACGGTGGCAACAGCTGCAGCCGCTGCGGCTGCTGCTGCAGGAGTCGCGCAGCCCGGACCGACGCATCAGTCGCCACAGTTCATAGTCTCGAGTCCGGCAGCAGCGGCGGCGGCGGCATCGGCGGCACAGCGCTTACAGCCGCCCAAACTGCTCTTTACCACCGCCCTGCCCATGTCGAATGGCACCGTCTCCATGCCTCACATACTCAATCCAAACAGCGCGCTGGCCACCTCACTCCCGAAGGTCATTGGAGCACCGGTGACTGCGTCGCCGGCATCGGGCAATGCAGCTGGAGCAGCTGCCACCAATGCATCAAAGACCGTAGATATTTGCACGGATATTAATGAGGTACA